CAGATACAGAGCAGTGACGTAGGCATATAACACAGTCGTTAAGAGCCCTTTACCATACACCCTATTCTCCCTCTGGGTCCATAACGATAAATTTCAACCGTGTTTTCAGCATTAAAACAATAAATATATATTTTATGAGCCAGAGAGAAGGGAATGATGTCCAGCAGCCAGGCCATTTCAAGATGAAGGGTTCTTTTCTCTTGGCTTCAGGTAGCTATTCAACAAAGCAATGACTTTGTGCTAATGACGAGAAAGCAGGAATGTTTTGAACTGTATACACCTGGTTCTTAGAGAAAAAGTGATAATGGATGAAAATGGCGTACTCGACAACCTCACCGTGAAAAGATAAATCAATTGCAAAAGCCAATTTAATTTTATTTAGCAATTTTATTTAATAATTCCGGCATTGCGTGACACATGTTTTACAGTAAAGTTGTGTGTGAATTTAACTATGTTTTGTTTCTGCAGGAAAAAAACAGCCCCTACACAGATATATTCAAAATAAGTTCTGAGCACCAGTTTAACACACATTTCTGATTTCTTAGTTGTGACTCAACAGACTGTTGGAAAAGAAATCTGTAAACAAGCTCAAAAACACAAGCAGTACCAAGAGACTGGACACTAGTTGACTGATGTGTCTGCTATATTAAAATTTGATGAGGTAGTTGATGAAAACAAAGAGATGTTTGTTTTCTCAGGCAGTGATTGGTGTGAAATGGGAGTTTCTGAATTCTCCTCTGACAAGTTTTATTTGCTGTCTTCTTATTTTTTTATTTTCTGTGAGTAATGAGAGTTTAATTTAAACACAATGGGAAAAGTGCACATGCGTGTGTGTGCATATATATATACACATAAACACACACACATATGAGCCAAAACATTATGACCATCAACATGTGATGTGAATAATGTTGACTATCTTGTAAAAATATGCACATTTCTATTAGAAAGTAAGCCAACATTCGGTCGACATGTAGGATGGTGAAAAAATGCGCAGCGGTAAAGACCTGAGTGACATTGATAAGGGTCAAATCGTTATGGCTAAACAGAAGTGGAAACTGGAAGGTTTATGGGGTGCTTATGGTCAGCCGTGGTCAGTACCTACTAAGAGTGGTCCAAGGAGAGACAAACCAGAGTCTGCATTGGGTGGTTAAGACTTGTCGATGCATGATGTGAACAAAGGCTGTCCCGTACAAGACAGCAGATGAGCTACTGTGGCACAAATTGTAGATAATTTTCATCATGGCCCTGGGAGTATTGTGTCATGGTACACAATGCATCAAGAATGGTGCTACATAGCTGGGATTGGACTTGTTGGTCTAACGCATCCCACAGGTGTTTGACAGCTACCCAGCTGTTCAACATGATGCAACAGAAAATGGGATTCATTGGACAAGTCAACCTTCCAGTTCTGTAAGGTGCAGTTCCAACACACATGGCCATTGTAGGCACTTTTGTTGCAGGACAGGGGTTAACATGGGCACTGTGACAGGCCTGCAGCCCCGTACGCGGCTGGGCTCCAAGCATCGTGTAACGTCACGTTACTCCCGTGACTCCCATCATTAAAATCATCTACGATTTGAGCCACAGTAGCCCCTCTGTTGATTTGTACCAGACGGGAAAGTTGCACCTGTTCTCTCATTGGCCACCCGATACCCTGTCAGCGGTTTGTGGTTTATCCCTCCTTGGACCACTCTCAGCAGGTTCTGAGAGCACCCCACAGGTCTTGCAGTAGGAGATGCACTGACCCACTCATCTGGCCATAACAGTTTTACCTTTAACAAAGTCAATCCGGTCTTGACCCCGTCCATGTTTTCTATATTCAAAATGTGACATAGTCAACATTATTAACTTCACTTGAGGATGCTCAAAATGTTCTGGCTCATCACTGCATATATATATAGCATTTTAAGACTTTTTAAGTTTTATTGGCATACACATTCAGTTACACATTCAAGTATAATTTCTTATCCATACATAAATCCATACATACAGCTAAAGAAAAAGTAAAGAGAACACAACAAAGTTTTCAGTTTCATTCATTTCTCAATTTGCAGGTATGCTCTGCGTAAAATATATAATTTTGTTTTTTGACAAACTGCAGCCTGCTGCACTTCACACCACTTAATGTTTCCGATTCTTGAGGTCATCTGCCAATTTATGTATCACTGCTGGATAACTTTACAGTCATCTCTGGCATTAGTGAGTCGCTTCTGCCCTCTAGATGGCTGGTTTTTGGTTATTGCCAGTGTCTCCTGCTTCACCTTGTTCTTGTTTACTGCTGACTTTGAGCCTAGAAGCAGCTGCCTGGCAGTGTAGCCTCCTGCCAGCAGAACCAGGATTTCAAAAATGCAGATTTTTAAAAAATGTAGAGTGGTCTCAATTTTTTTTCAGAGCGGTATGTGTGGGGGCGCAGTGTGTCTCAGCTCATTAAGATGCTGTGCCTGTGCTTGGAAATCCCAGGATCGGCAGTGATTTTCCAGTGCTTCAACCCCCAGTTGCTCCAGGGACTGTCTAACCCTGCTTCTTCAAAATATGAACGTCACTGCTAAATATGTAATACATATGTAAATATGTACATACATACATAGAGACCCTGCTAACATTTGCAGAACTGGGCACATCTCTCATGGAAGCAGCTGACTTAGACGGCCGCCCGTCCTCTCTAACTGACGTGTGGTAAATGGCCGGGCCCAGAGAGAGCACTGCCATGGTCCCTGGAACCGGCAAGTGCTTCGACAAGCTTTGAATCAAAGGTGATAAATATGCAAGTGATTGACATGGAAACGGCAGATCCGACAGTGACCTCCACCGGCGCTGCAAGGCATGGGGGAACTCCGGCAGGCGGCCGTGAGAGCGGACACGCATCCTATCTCTCAGTCTTTGAGCACTCGCGCCTGGGGAGCTCACCTGGCTCCGGCAGGAGCCGCCAGCCCCCCCACCCCACCCCCTCGTCCCTTCGCTCAGCAGTCGACTAATGGGCAGAGCATCCTCGTCTTATGTCTCTGAGCCTGGCTGGAGGGGATGTATTGACAACATCTGCACAGATATCTCAATCCCCAGAAGGACCAAAGCGGAGAATCCCCAAGTAGCGGTTCACTTTCCTCCCAGTCCGCTTTCTAGCCGGTCATTTTCCAGGCTGACAGCACATTCCCTTACAGGGGATGAGAGCTACACAACAAGGGCCGAGCCGAGAGGAGACCATTCTGCAGGTCTTGCTCTTCAACTTGTAAGAAGTGATAAAAAAAAAAAAAAAAGCTTGGGAAAAATCAGGAAGAGCTTCTGCATTGTGCTCTTGTTAGGTCTGGGTTTTCTTTAAAGACATTCCCCCGTTGAAAAAGAATTAGATTTTCACATGCACTTGGGGGAGTTCACTAGAGTACCTGATTGTCAGCTGTGTAGAGAGTTCTGGATTTAGGCTTATTGTCAGCTTGAGGTTTGAACAAAGTATATGGATTTTTTTTTTCTTTTTTGTGTGTGTATTCAACCTGAGGTAGAGCAGCATTTCTGTGGGTCATTTTGTCCCCTGGCAGCAGAAAGTGCATGAGATCCTTTGGCCATGCTAAGACACAACAGGCAGATTCTAAATGGAAATTTGCAAAAAGCAGGTCGATCAACCAAGGAAAATCATTTACATAAGAATAGAAATGGAAGTACTGAAAGACACTATGGAATCATTTAGGATGTTTATTGTAATCCAGAAAGAGAATAACCTTTTTATGCAACCCAAGAGTACCTCTCTTGGCAGGATTGATGTGGTCCTACAAGGAAGATCCATCACTGAATTGTATGTACTTTCTAAAAAGAGTTTGATTAGTGAAAATGAGAAATTATCAGATGTGCCTTGTTAGGAAAATCATAACTATAAATGTTATACAAACAGTGATTTTTTTATTTTTGCCATCTAGAAAGAGAACTGAAAATAACCTTTTAAACTTTGAGGGAGAACCATGCTCAACAATAAACAAATAAATAGTCTCATTTAGATTCACTGTTGTGCTTATTAAAATACATTGGCCTCATACTGACAAAACAAAATTAGAACAAAAGCCATTTTGAAAGCTTATAAATTTCCTGACATTTCCAGCGTCCAATCAAACCTTCTTAGCTTGACGCCTATCATTTGCAACCGGAGGTTTTCCCTCATTTTCGCCTGAATGGATTAAATTGAGCAGCTTCCCCAAATGGCCAGGGCTCTGGATCCCCCCACCCCCAGTCAGAATATGGCTCTTTATCACATCTGGACTGTGCAGGCCGCACACTGCTACAATGAAATTTCAACAGAGGCACAGAGACAGGCACTGATGGGCCTCTGCGTACATTAAAAGTGGGTCAACAATGGGGACCTCTCCACTCACAAAGTGCCCGCTGACAGCTCTGCTCTGACTGGAGAAGAACAGGTGCAACTGCAAGCTGGAAAAAGAAAAAAAAAAAAAGAAAAAAAAAAACATGTCAGGATATTTTTGGAGAGCACAGGGGTTGTGAATGCAAGGTCCGACGTCTGTGCAATCCAGCGCTGCCAGGGCCTCTTCGGGACGAGTTCAAGGTCATGGTCTACACTGTGCCCACTAACAGACGGGAAAGGGGGTAGGCAGGGGGGGCAGTGGACCCACCACATTAGCTGGAAACCAGAGGAAGCTGGCATGTCAGTGAGCAGTAGCCTGACACTGTAGGAGCATCTACTGTACGCAGTGAAAATCTGAAAAAACACCCTTTCGCACTTGGTTTTAGAACAGGACAGGACATGACAAGGTCATTGAAGTCTCTCACCTTAAGGTGACAGTCTGTGTAGGATGGCCGAAATATCACTTTTTAGAAGGCTGCATCCGATGTGATACAGAGAATCCGTGAGCACTTTGAAAACAGACATAATGTGACTAGGGATTTTAGGTGGACTTAAGCCTTAGTGTAAGATATATACTGTATATATATATATATAAGTGACTCAAGACAGGCTATCCAGGCATATTGCATCCAGGAATGAAATCAAGGAAATTGTATCTTTTTAAAGCATTTTATTGCTTAACTGCATTTTCTTATTAACTCAAATTCTTATTTGGAAAGAAATGTAGTACTCACATTGGACACACAGGCAAAGTATTTGGCATTGCAAATTGACATGTTTTGGGAATACAGTTTAGCATATTGTAATAATATCCCCAAGTAGACCTCTTACAAATCCTATATTACCTTGCAGTTTGCTTCTTATGCATCAAAATGAAAAATAATAAATAAAATAAATAAAAACAGGAAAAAAACCGTAAGCATCATATAACTTAAGTATTTTATGCACAATTTCAGCTGTTTTAATAACTGAGGATTCAGCTTGTAAAATGTTCTCCTTGCTTAATTAACGTGGGTTGTGCTTAATACTGTCTGAACTGGCACTTATGACAAGAGGAAAGAAAACAGAACAGCTGCTGAAACACAATATGGCAAAAGCAGCTCAATTCAAACTTCAATTACCACTCGGCACGCCTCTTCAATATACTTAGCTTAAGACATAAGCTTTATACACATTAAAATGGAAATTTAAAATATTACCTTTAAAAAAGACATGGGTTGAAATAAATGTAATTAATGCAATTAAAATCAAAAGAATTTGACAATTCAAGTATTTTCCATAAGCAGTCACTCGTTTCCAGTGACAATAGATGCAGGTGAAATTGGCGACAGTATCCACGCATGCAGGAGACAGAATGCAATGTAGCTGCAGCACAGAAGGTCTCACCTTCAATGTGCCACATGGTGCATATTTAATGTGACATTCTTTAAGATTACTTCAACATGGAAGTACATGCTCAGCTAACCTGTGTGATCAGCAAACCTTTTCTTTTTTCCCTTTCCTTTTGTAGAAATTGACATTGCCAATTGACAGCAGGGCAAACATTCTCTTCGGACTCTGCAAACTGAATCACTTAGGCAAGACTTTTGAGCTGGTTTTGAATGTTCAGCAGATTTAATGGAGGCTGAGACAGTCAATTTAGGCTGTCTGAAGTCGCCTCGATCTTACGCTTTGGATCGCTCCCCAGCACAGCATGAAGTTCAATCTCACGTAACCTAAAAGCGTAAATATAATTATATGACGAGATCTACAGGAGTTACAACTTCTTTAAAAAGTAAAAAAAAAAAAAAAACAGCACCAAAATTGTTTTGCTAAAACAAGCATTTTACATGTAGATTCTCAAACAAGGAATTACTTGTAATCTCATACCATCTATTTGTCACTGAAGCATTGTGTTTCATGAAGTATTTACATCTGAAAATAAATTAATCTTTTTTTCTTTTAACAGTACTGCGACTTGACTTTGCAGCAAACGGACACCTTATAGCAAGGACAACAGGTCGGTGAAAGTTCTGAAACTCGCGTGAAACTCAAAGCAGGGCTGCGGATGTCCACTTCAGGATGTCCTCGCGCTCTAGCTCTGCTCCCGGTGATCCCCCTCACCTGCTCGTCGAGGGTCGGTGGGGGGAGGGGGGGCGGCGGGGGGTTCTGGAAGCGGCAGAGGCTGGTGGCGTCGCGCCCTGGGCGGCTCCCTCAAAAGTGGCCCAGCCGGGGGGCGAGCAGGCTGCGAGAGCGCGGCATGGCCGAGGGGACGCGGCCAAAGCTGGAGGAAGGCCACTTCATGACGAACTGAGAGGTCACTGGCAGCAGGTACCTGGGCAGACGGGCGGATTGTACATGAGAAGTAATGAGGGGATTAGAAAAGGCAAAGGTCGGGGAGAGGGATCGGGCCGCATTAACCCGGCGCTGCGATCTGACAGAGCACCCCTGCAGTTCCTACCTTCCGTGAGGGCCAGACACGGCAGGCAGCCTTCATTTCCTGCCTATTGTTCCTTTAACCATCAACCGGACGTAGCCTAGTTTTCAAAAATAAATGCACTTAGGCCCAAAGACAAAGATTAAAGATGATGCGAGTCGTAACGTGTTTGGATGCGTCAGTGAGGATGTGAAATTAGCTAATTAAGCCCTGGAATGGGACGGGCGGGTTAAGCGTACGGGAGCTTTTCCCCGGTACGGTGGTAGACCGAAATAGCAAGCTGAGGTGTTCCCGGCCTTTCCCGTACACTTCAAGCGGAGAGAGCTTCATCTATTATTGTCATTCAGGACTTTGTGAATATGCGGAAATCTAACGAAGACAAATAAATTCACATCGGGAGGAAAGCAGTCGTCGAGTAAGAATAAACTGCACGCCGATGCGGCGAGGTTCCTGGCCCGAATCTGGGAACATCTGTAATGAGCGTAGCGCGGCCAAAAAACCGTCTCCTTGGTCTGCAGTGAGAAAGTGAGGCACAGGTAACAACTCCTCTTGTTAATGTGTCTCCCAGACCCCAGACAAATTAGCTGGGCTGCCATAAAAGAGAAAAAAAAATGCAGAAGGCATCTTTTGTGAGAGAGCCCTGCCCAGGAGAGATTTTAATGAACTTCATTTGGTCCTTGTGGAACGTCCTTGAAGCCACTCAAGTTCGCCTCCTCTACTTGTCAGGTACCTTCTTTGTTTAAACTTAATATTTCACCCTTTGCTATTTTCAACTCATGCAAGGAGACTCAGGAGCTCTTTCGAGATATAATACTATAATTGTCATAATTAACCTAAGACTTTAAATTAATAAATATATTCATGAACACTTGGATTACATTAAAGTACAGTAATACATTTAACCTGGTTAGGCCTGGTAATACACAACATACCATTTTGCAGAGCACATTGAATTCAGCCAAATTAGATGTTTAAATATAGATTTTTTTCAGCTCATGGAGACAGTTGAATCTGCTCAAATACACTAAGAAAATCCTCTATATACACACAGTGCAGGGCTGAAGGGGGTATTTAATTGGATCAGTGTAACACTTTTCCCAGGTTGTCAGCTTTTGATGATCTAAGACGACTGAGGAGAAGCTGGCGATCTGAAAGCCTGAAGGAGCACTAAGACTGTACCCTTACTTCATTTACGCTGTCCTCCATGAGAGCGCGCCTTCATTACAGCCGGCTCAGTGTAGAATTACCATGCACCTCTAACAGGCCGTCATCTCATAATCTACACCCAGGATACATCAGTGGTGGGGAATTCAAAGACTGGCCCATTATCACGAGCTTACAAATAAGGAGAAACGTCATCAGCCGGCACGCTGCTTTTAATACTGAGGCTAGCTATTGTCTAGCTATCTTTTCAAAGAAGTGACGTTCAAATATCCCGACGTTTCACGTAAGCGAGGTGTGTTTAGGCTCTGGCCCGATTCGGCATGTCCTGAGACCAGCTATTACATGAGAACGTTGGAATTAGCTATGAGAGGATTCTGCCAAGACAGAGGCACTGCATAAAAGCAACACCCCTCCCCCCCCCCCCCCCCCCCCCCCCCCCCCCCCC